GCGTGATGCATAATTCTCGCTTCACTAGAACGCGTGCACCTGTGTTCGGCAGTTTCGGGCGTCTCTGAGGTTGTGGTAGAACAGCTCACCACAGTCTAACAGGCGTGGGAAACGCGTCCCCACGGCCTCCAAGCTGTTGCCGCCCCTAGTGACTACAGAACTTGTACATCCTGAAAAGTCAATGAAGTGTGCAGAACAATTTATCTTCCTCGGCCTTGGGACTGTTGTCAAAGACAGAGGGACTGAGGGAAACATTGGACAACGGACATCAGACTTCTGTTGACATGTCCGCCCAGTTGCGATCCCTCAGTGGCAAATCTTCACCGATCCCGGTTCCCCAAGATGTGATGGTGCTAATGAGCGCAGCAATTGTACACGCCGATACATTGGCCTTTCGTCCACTCTATAGCTGGTCTACGCCGCGTGTTATGGGGAGCCTAGCCAATTTGAACCCAGCTGTCGTAACCTAGGTGTTAGAGCATCGAATACACTGATCCATATATGGCACACATGTGGACCTGGGTCCCGAAACCGTCCTTAGGTGATTCTTCCCTGACGGTTTGGAAGGTGGTTGGTGTTGCCGCTGTCACAACCGTCACACCGTGTGTTTCACTAATGACCAGGCCGACGGCGGCTTCGCGGCATTGACGGTGACGGCCGTTTCGCAGCATCGCTTGGCGCGTTCCATACGCATCTTGCGGCGAAAATCGCCTCTTGAACTGGCTCGCATATCGAGTAGCCATGCATTGAACCGCGGTTAACCCATGACAATGTGTTCTTATGTAAACCACCATCTGGTGATTTGATCGGTAGGACACGTGGTCCCGTGACGTCATCGACACGTGACGGCTGTAGCTGCCATCGCCGATAATGTTGGGTTGCGTTTGAGGGCTGGTGCACAGGAGTTGTCTGATTGGACAGGAATCCATGACGTCATTGGAATGAGCGGCCTTATGGCCGCTGAATGGTTTGCATTGGACTGGCTTGCTCGATCTATCGCTAAACGTGCGTTGAACTAAATTCTTCTGATGGGGCCTGGGCGTTGGTGGGTTCCGGATTCTAGTAACAAGCTATCCTTATAAATAACCCGGATTCCAAAGCGTTCCCTGCGAAACGCTTGGTCGAAGTTTGTTCTATCCAAATGGTGACCAAATCAGCTTCCATGATAATTAATCATCGAAACTCTAACAATCCCTTGCGAATCCGCCGGCCGACCCCGTGGCAGTGGTCCGGTGACGGCTCTGGCAGCGCCAGTCTCACCTCCCAGCGAGTGGTGCTTGGCACATGACGCAAGCCCGAGATGGCTCTCGACAAACGCGATCGCTGCACTTCAGCGGGCAGCACTTCTTGCGAGACCTCTTCGTAGGTTCTTCGTAGGTTCTTTTTTTCCACTTCTTCCGAAATGGCTCCGTAGCGATACGCGTTCGTATCGCATATTTCGCTGGGTGAAATCACCTTGCGTTTGACATACCCCAGTGCATTTGTATTTGAGAAGACCTATGTACAAATAGTGTGGCCAGCATCGTGTGGCCAGCATCGTGTTTGCCCGCCCACTTCGAGCACCGGGTTGACTTTGAAAAGACAAATAGGGGAATTGGAAGTATCGCGTGTTCGTAACCTGACAAAGCTTTTCGAAGGAGCCATTTTTCGACGCCGCTCAGGATAGTCCTGCAAACTACGGAAAGCAAACCGGCAAGACAGTGGGTACGGCTTGCATTTAGCAGATTAAACTGCGGGTAACTCTCTAGCTATGACCTTTAAGCATGTAATCGTCGCAGCCACGGGAGAATACCTTTGTCGGAGCAAGAGTGCCCTTTGTCGGAGCAAGAGTGCCCTTTGTCGGAGCAAGAGTGCCCTTTGTCGGAGCAAGAGTGCCCTTTCGCGATGCCGAATTAGGGAGTAGACAGTCAGACAGACCCAGGAGAATGTGCAGGATTTCCCTGGAACACAATGTCAGCGCACTGCCGGCACACGAAATTTCACGCGTGATCTACATCGCATATTTTTTATTCATTTATTTTTTACCTATCCGCCGTGATTTCTAATTGCTGACATTGATTCACATTCGTATGGATACATATAAACGCTTGTGATTGGCAGGGCACGTGCTATGGTAAACGCCGCCGTGAAGCGGGGCCCGTCCGGCACTGGCAGCAGACCCGAGGCAGCGCCGCGTGACGTCACTGGCCATGACGTCAGACCAGTAGCCCCCGAGGGCCCAGATTGAAAGTGGAGGCTCGCAGCGAGATGTGGGGCTAGTGCGCTGGGCGTTCGGATGGCATGGCGGAGCCTCCCCAAACGTGGCAGATGTTAGCTGATATGGCTCTGGTAATGGGGCGGTGGAAAGTTTGGTTATGCAAGTGCGCTTTGCACATGTATATATATATATATATATATATATATATATATATATATATATGTATACATCCGTAAACATCCGTGAATTGTGGTGAAGTAAAATGGGCTCCTACCTCTGGGGGTGCGCCACGTGTCACTGCATGTGGCTTTGCCGTGTATTGTGCTGCCTCCGTCGTGTGTGCTAAACCCGTATGATGTTCATGTTCTTCCTGAAGATGCAGCCGCTGTGCTGTAAAACGCGTCGTTAATTGGCATGGAATATATCAGGAACTGTTTCTAATGTGGACTTGTGGTGGCGTATACCGAGAAATAGGAGCAAGAAGCTTTCACAGGAGAGAGAGAGAGAGAGAGAGAGAGAGAGAGAGAGAGAGAGAGAGAGAGAGAGAGAGAGAGAGAGAGAGAGAGAGAGAGAGAGAGAGAGAGAGAGAGAGAGAGAGAGAGGAGAGAGAGAGAGAGAGAGAGAGAGAGAGAGAGAGAGAGAGAGAGAGAGAGAGAGAGAGAGAGAGAGAGAGAGAGAGAGAGAGAGAGAGAGAGAGAGAGAGAGAGAGAGAGAGAGAGAGAGAGAGAGAGAGAGAGAGAGAGAGAGAGAGAGAAGAGAGAGAGAGAGAGAGAGAGAGAGAGAGAAGGAGAGAGAGAGAGAGAGAGAGAGAGAGAGAGAGAGAGAGAGAGAGAGAGAGAGAGAGAGAGAGAGAGAGAGAGAGAGAGAGAGAGAGAGAGAGAGAGAGAGAGAGAGAGAGAGAGAGAGAGAGAGAGAGAGAAGAGAGAGAGAGAGAGAGAGAGAGAGAGAGAGGAGAGAGAGAGAGAGGAGAGAGAGAGAGAGAGAGAGAGAGAGAGAGAGAGAGAGAGAGAGAGAGAGAGAGAGAGAGAGAGAGAGAGAGAGAGAGAGAGAAGAGAGGAGAGAGAGAGAGAGAGAGAGAAGAGAGAGAGAGAGAGAGAGAGAGAGAGAGAGAGAGAGAGAGAGAGAGAGAGAGGAAGAGAGAGAGAGAGAAGAGAGAGAGAGAGAGAGAGAGAGAGAGAGAGAGAGAGAGAGGAGAGAGAGAGAGAGAGAGAGAGAGAGAGAGAGAGAGAGGAGAGAGAGAAGAGAGAGAGAGAGAGAGAGAGAGAGAGAGAGAGAGAGGAGAGAGAGAGAGAGAGAGAGAGAGAGAGGAGAGAGAGAGAGAGAGAGAGAGAGAGGAGAGAGAGAGAGAGAGAGAGAGAGAGAGAGAGAGAGAGAGAGAGAGAGAGAGAGAGAGAGAGAGAGAGAGAGAGAGAGAGAGAGAGAATTGTTGCACGTAATTGCAGTCTCTCATGGGGCTCATGCCCAAAACAATGCGTTGGAGCCTTATAGCGTTGCTTGCAGTGCGAGACATTTGGCGAGATTCCTGCTCAGCGTCGGATATATTCCCGAACTGCGCCATATGTGCCGGAGTTGGCATTAGAGGTGTTTCAGAGCTGTGTTGTCCTGCGTGGGGCCAGAATCGGATCCGCCTTACGTGCCGCCAGTCAAGATCGGAAGCGAATCCACGACGGTGAAATAAAAGTCAAGTCCGAGTTTCATTGCCGCCACAAGATAATCTGCCGAATTATTGGATTGGAAGACAAGATGTCCGGTGAAATGCAAAGTTATTCAAGGGATGGAATCTAGTAACTGGGTGTGAAACTTTCTTACGTAGTTGATATATGCCTCGTGGAGATTTGGATTTGCAGCTGATTGCATTACCGACACCTCTGTTCCTTTTGCCATGGCCGTTTCAAAATGTCATCAGTTAAATTAATTAGATAAATCAAAGCACAGCATCAGTTACAACCTTGGCTGTTTCACAAGGCAGCCGAAATTGTGCTGCTTACCAAAGGGCAGTAAGAGATTTTGCGCTCTTTTTTCTCGCTGGGATGGGACCTCGTTCACATTTACGACGCGAATCCAGTCTTGGCTCGCGGGGTGGAAGCACGAGACTATTGATATGGGCTTCTTGTCGACGAATGCAGTTCCCCTCACCAGTTTGTTAGCGTAAAATGAATAGCGCCGTAAAAAGATCGAATGTTATTTATTTGCCTTGACTGGAACGAATCATTGATACGTTTAGCGACGTTTAGCCTTGAGGCGTTGGATCGTTCATTTACAGATCATGTAACTCCTGTCGGCTCGTAAAGCGGGTGATGACATGGCCAGTGTGCTGCCGAAGCCCGAAATGTGGTCATCACTACAGCTTTCTTTAACGTATCATTACGCTTCGAGTGGAATGACCACCGATGATGGCGCTTCGGAGACTGCCGAGCGCTTCTACCCACCACCGAACGCCCGCGGCTCAGTGCTGGCGCCGAGGCCAGCGACGCCTCCCCGCCCCCTCGCCGCCGATGGGACTGGCCGCGCGGCCCGTCACACCCTCGCCGTCGCCGTGCGGGGAGCGCAGGAGCAGCGGCGCGGCAGGGGCGGGGGCGGGGGCTCCCCTCCCCGCGGGCCGCTGCGGCCCGGCCAGCCACTTGTTACGCTGCGGCCGGCGGGTCGGCGGCCGGCGCGGCGGGCCGGGCGCGCCTGACGTCACGGGCCCGATCAATACTGCACCTCCACCCCTGTGTCTGGCGCGGCCCCGGCCCGCCGCCGCCGCCGCCGGCCGGCACACAGCGCGTCCGGCCGCCGGCGACGCCGGCGACGCACGCCCGCCGCCATGGACGCCGACGACGCGTCTCTGCAGACGCAGGTCAGTGCTCTCGGCGCCCCGGGCTGCGGGTCGCCCGCTGGCGTGTGCCGAATTGGGCCGGGCAGAGGGCGGTGGTGGACGTGTATGAGCGATAGCGCTGGCGGGTGATTCACGTGCGCGATTGGGTCCGCTGTGGCCGGCCCCCGGCGTCCGCCGGGTGTGACCGGTCCGCAGCGTCCGGCGCGAGGCTGGCCAAAAGCCGGGGAACATCCCGCTGCCGGCGCGTCAAAAGCGCGCGCCGCCGGCACACACCGCCGCACTGGCTGGGCTGCGGCTACGCGATCTTTTCGTCGGCCTCTGGGGAGTTGGCGCAGTGTTTGTGATCGTCACCAGGTCACCGTGTCGCGCCCGGCCGGCCGCCCGGCAGCCGTCCCCGCCACCTCTGCCAGGGACTCGGGTGCCGTGGCCGGCGGGGGGTCGACCGATTTGCGGCCTGCTGTGAACGTGACCCACTCCCAGGCGCGCACGGAAAAGTTGGCGAGAGTCCGCAACCAAGTTTTCGAAGTTGACCGATTTTCAAACAAGACGTATGTCCCAAAGTAAAGGGTGACCTATGCGGGTTTATGTCACGTCTTTCGGAACATCGTTGGAAGCATTGGGCAAACCAAGCTCAACCGTTATTATTCGAGACACTGAGAGCTCATTGAACGAGCCGTCGACGTGCAACGACCATCCACACCCATCATGCACACATGCCACACATGCACCCCTCCCCCCCCCCCCACACATACACACACACACACACACACACACACACACACACACACACACACACACACACACACACACACACACACACAAGATATATATATATATATATATATATATATATATATATATATATATATATATATATCTCTCTCTCTCTCTCTCTCTCTCTCTCTATATATATATATATATATATATATATATATATATATATATATATATATATACCCACCACCCCACAAGAGTCCTCACGGCAGCTTAGGCTTGATCTTCCCAAGCTAAAACGACGTACCAACAAGCAATGAACAACAGGCATTTCAGCTACAATGGAGCATGCAAGTCCCCAGCGAATATCAGCATCACGAGAGATCGTGACAGTGACGATACGTGGTGTAGGACGTTACACGGGTGTGCAGATGTTCATTTTCCACCTCCCAATGAATACCGTCCCTAGTGCATTGTCGTGCTCATGGATAGGTGGGCGTGAGTGCCACCTGGGTCGTCCCCCTCTTTGCCTTGACCGCTAAAAGAGCCACCCGTTTTCCTTTCCGTTGCTCCCCGCACTACCCAACATCCGGGGGGCTCCTCCCCTTCGTGCCATTCCTTCCCTCTGTCCCAGCCCTTCCCTTCTGTCCCGATTCCCGCCCAGAACTATCCGTCTTTGAATCCAAAGAACTCTTTAAAAAAGCTCCTTTTTCATGCCACGGTTTCGACAACTCACTGGAAAAATCGGCCTCTGACATGATCATGTCTTCTCCCCCTCGGCATATTCCGTCTCCGTCTCAGTCCCAGCGCCCCGTAGACTCTCACCCTCTTCCTCTCCCTCTCAGTCCAAGGGCGCGTTCGGCCAAGGGAAAATTATTCAACGAATAATTATCTCTCCGACAGCCATCCGCGGAGATTCTCCATTTTTACTGGGCCGGTACAGAAATTATCCCTCAGATTAGTCTCCCATGCGCCATCCACAGCCAACTGTCACAGCTATACATAGCGAAAACAGATTCTCCGTCTCGACCATGCTCTGAAAATTCGCTGCGATTCTCTCTCGCTACGGAAAATATCTGGGACAATTTTTCGTGACGGCAGTGCCGAACGCCAATCCGGAAAATTTTCCAGCATTCCGGATAATTTTCCGAGATTGTCTGCCGGCCAGACGCACCCCAAGTCAGGCGCGTGACTCCTACTTTCTGCCCCGACCCTGTCGTTCGCAAGCCCCTGCCTCCTCTCTACACCCCAGTCCCGCTCGAGGTCTGTGCCCCCCGCTCCTCGGTTCCTCTCAGGCCAACCCCTCCCCAGCCCCTCCCAGGTCCGCACCACCCCAGTCCCTCCCCAGCCACTCTCAGGCCCACGCCTCCCAGCTCCTTAGGCGGACAGCCCCCCCCCCCCCCCCCCTCCTCCGCCCCCAGTCCTTCCTCAATCCCTACCAGCTCCGCGTATCTACAGCTCCTCCCAGCCCGGCACCTCCCAAGTTCCTTCCAGCCCGCCCCAGGCCCGCTCTCCCCGGCCTCTCCGAGGCCTCCCTCGGCATCAGTCCCCTATCTGTCAGCCCTTTCAGCCCTCGCAGAACAGCCAGTGCCTCCCTTGTTCCTCCCAGCTCGCCACCTCCTCGGCACCTCCACAGTTTCTGCCAGGCCTGCACCACTCAAGCCCCTCCTCAGACCTCCCAGGTGGTCCCCTTCCCAGCCTCCCCCAGCCGGCCTCTCCCCAGCCTCTCCCAGACCTGCACCACCCCAGACCCCAGCCCTTCCCGGGCGGTCCCCTCCTCAGTCCCTCTCTCTGGTGAGCCGCTCCCCAGGCGGTCCCTGTCCCCACCCCCAGGCCGGCGCCTCCTCAGCCTCTCCCCAGGCCCCCTCGGCACCAGTTCGCTGTCTGTCAGCCCTGTCAGTCCCGCGGCACAGCCAGCGCCGCCGCGCGGCCGGCTTGCAACAGGTGGGTGTATGTGTGTGTGCTGGGGCATTGCGCTGTCGCGCAGGCCCCCTGCCGGCGTGCACTCGGTCCGCGGCGGCGCCGTCGGCAGCGCGTGCCGTTACCGGCACGCGCTGCCGACGTACAGCGGCTTCTGGGGAGCTGTTGGAGGGGGAGCGGCGGCGGCTCGCGGTTGGTGGGTGGGGTCGGGTGTGGGGTGAAGGCGTAGGAATGGAGACCTGGCACGGGACTCGCGACGGGGAGGGTGACAGGGGGGACGACGCCTCGACAGCTTTGCGATATTTATATCTCGCCTAAAGCGCTTCATGGAAAGAAATGTCTCAAAGTCGGATAACCCCGCTTCCAACTTGGCATCAGCGATGGAACCGCTGAAACTCCCCGCGGATCTGAGAGCAGGCGAACTGTGGCGCTGTCTGGTGTGAGTTCTGGTAGGATGGGAGCGGTGTATCCGTGCTAGTCCAGGGCATTAGTGCGTGGTTAAGTGTGTGGGTACTCACTGATGCAGCAGCTCCTGCGGCCCAGTGATTTACATGAATGTGTCTGGTCCTATTTAATAGTCTCTGGTGCAGTTCTGGGCTGCTTGTGGTTATCCTCTTTAGCTAGGTGTGTTCCTTTGTACCTGAGTACGGTGTAGCATTGCCAACATTTTTTTTGTGTTGCATTGTATGCGCTGTGTACGCTGGCCTGAAGCAGTATTACTGATTTGCCACTTATCAACAATGTTATCTGAAGCTATTTAAACAAACTGCGGCTTCGCTGGTTTCACCAACTACAAAGTAATCCGAATACGGGGAGAAGCGACAGACTGCAACCGAGCACTCAATCCTCTTAGCAATGTGCATGAAATTCCCCACATTTGGCGGCTGACTCATTTCTCAATTTGGCAACCATACACGTGTGTTAAGACGACGCCCAACAACTGCGACAAATGGCTATCCGTGCTGTGTTCATATTGGGGTCCTGCAAACCATCGACGCGGTGTCACTGTATTTAATGATCCTTATGTTCGCGGATGGAGGATAGAATCATGCGCTTCATTTCTCCCACGGCGCGTCGCGCCCTGAGGTTTGACACAGTGTGCTGCACGACATGGGGTTACAGGTCGAGCCGTTTCAGGTCTCGGACAATGGGATTGCTCCGCGCGTGCAACAGCTGTCAGCTAACGGCCCCCGCGTCATTCCGCCGAGGACTGCACTGATTGGTGGAGTTGTCGACGCTACAATTGTATCAATGGAATAGCTAAGACACTAAGACAAGACAGCAGTAATAGGCTTATTCATCATAGACGAACCTGAAGAACTGATATAGAGATGCGTTGCTATTTCGGCAGCATGCCATTATGGAAACGAATCGCTATTCGTTTTGATAAAGGCATGTTGCCGGAACATGAACGCATCTACATCTCCATTCTGCTGGTTTTTCTATGAGGAATAAGGCTATGACTACTGTCTTTTCTATATGCATAATGTTTCTCGCAAATGCACCCAACAACTCACGTAATTTTGAATACACGGGATAGCGTTCAAACGCTGTCTCCATGGATACCATTGTATTTTCTCTCACCAGTACTGCAGCCAAAACATGGAACCGCGAACGCCCATCGTGTGATAACTAATAAAGTGGACCGAAGATGTCGTTTCTCTTAGATAGTTGCGGGAACTAGCGTGTTGACTTTTTAGATAATGGAGGCTGGCTCCCTGGGATAACTGGAAAAAACTGGCCACCTGGGATAACGGGGAAAAGCTGCTTCCCTGGCATAACCGCCGGGCGTGGCGCTTGTGAGTTGAAGTTTTCTCTGCAGGGGCTTCGGGCGTTGCAGTCACCAAAACATAAGGGGGTGGAATTCACCATCCGGACACCAACAAACTGCTATATTGGACGTTGTTGCAACAGACAACTTCGTATGGGCCCCTTCCACGTGTAAGCTAATATATTTATTCAGGCCTTTGAGTTGTACTTTTGGACCAGGGTGGGCCAAATGAGACATACAAGTGATTTGCGAACACGAGGCACAGACAGCCGCCGTATTTTCCTTTTCCCATGCTGGTATACGAGGGCTGTAGTGTCCTGCTGGTTATATCAAGCGTTTGCTGAGTGATTAGGGGGGTATAGAAATGTCTGAAGATGAAACTGGTTTGCAGGCACTCGCCCATTCCCTTCATACCTTACCCAAACAAAGTCGTGGAATGTATTCATACATTTTTGCCGTTATCCAGGCAGTGATACGGCTGTCAACGTGTCTCTCCTGTCATGAAGAATGTAAAGAATACCTGCTTAGTAGTATACCCATCGAGCGTCATGACAGCGTGCCCCATTCAATGGCACGGAGCCCGCGAAACGAAAACGAAACATGGTCATTGTCAAAGAAGAAAAATTCACGCCAGTGATGGTTGTATTGATAAAAACGTTTTCCCCCGCTATCGTTACAAACAGCGCGGCAGCGAAAATATATAGTACATAACCAAATATGAGCGGGATTATCGGTAACATCCCACGATCCTAACTGAAAAAGTCAGCCGAAATGACTGAACAACGAAAAGGAAATTAAGTATGCGATATTTGCATTGTATCTAACCTGTCAAACAGTTCGGTTGCCGTTCTGTGGCAATGCCAGCAGGGCACGAATGTGCGCCGGGAGTTTGTTTAATATAGTGAGGAAGTGGGCGAATGTCAGCAATCACTCGCAATGGAAGTTGCATTTCTAGTCTCCCGAAACACTCAGTTAAACGTTTGACAGTGGAGTGAACCGACATATTATGACCCTCATACACAGACGTAACAGACATATGCCTGATTAAAAGTAACTGATCGCTGGTCATCGGCGGCAATGATCCTTTAAACTCTTATGCGACCTGCCCTGGCCCAAAGGCATGATCGAAAGGTCTGTGTGAACAAACCGGCCAATCTGCTCATGGAATATGAGCATGTGGAGTTGTCTGTCCGCGTCAGCGTCGAATACAACTGTTTTTGCTGTTAAGATCGTGTGTAGCCATGGCAGCTGCTTTTTATTGGTGACGGCAAGGCCTGAAACCCTCCTGCAGAGGTAAACTGTTACTGAAAAGCGATCATCAGCTATTATCCCAGGAAGCTAGTTTTTGGTATGCGGTTACCTAGAGGATCAACGCGTATCCTGAACTAGCCGCTGGAATTATCCGGTGGTGACATTTTGTTTCGACCGACCTTATTGCGCAATGTCTACTTCAATGTACGCCAGTTATATTCCTGGCCACCCTTTCGCCTGAAACCCACCCCATGGACGAAAATTTTATTGGAAAATGGAAATTTCTTAGGACGTGACTACATCCCCAAAATTTTGGAACATTTACTTTGGGCCCAATATGACGTTGCATGGAAATAGGCTCGGGAAACGATTCAAAACTATCCCGACTCTGAGAGCAAAACTCCAATTATGGTCCCGCCGACGATACTTGACCTGACCCCTCCACCTTTGGCTTGACTCCGACCTTTTAAACCTTCGACATTGATGAAAACCGGCAGACTGCACGCAGGGGTGCAGCCAGAATTTGCGACCGAATATGCTAGCATGATTTGCAAGGAGGGCCTTAATTTTGGGAGCGAGTCTCAGCCCCATTAAATTACCTGCGCACTGCGAACAAACCAACAGGCCTGACAAATGCTAACAGGTACAATACCTATAGTATCAATGAGCTTATCAATGCTGGTTTGCCTTGGTGGCTTTAACATTTGTTTCAGCTGCGTACCGTACATATTCGCTCGGTTATCCGCCGGTATTGTTAGCAAATTACGGCCGTTGGGTTCTACATGTTACTGCACATGGCAGTGTTGGTGATGCGTAAAGCCAAAATAGTTGCCCTGGTCACCAGATTCCGGAAACATGTTCAGTGGTGCCGTGGTCAAAAACTTCACTCGAACCTGGCAGGAAGCGGGGTGTGGCTAAAGCTCCATCAGCCGCACCACTTTGGCTACGTCTTTAAACACATGCGCCTAAGCGCTTTTTGTTATTTGCTGGATGCAGAATGTCAGTATCCTGATTCTGACGACGGAAAAGCTGTAAGCGAGACAGGCGCACAGAATGTGCGTCTCACAGGCTACCAACGACTCATCCAGTACAATACCTGAGTGGCACTGTCCTAATCGGTCTTCGGTGGAGTAGTGGCCGCGCCGCATTTTTATCGTGGAGAACACATAGGCAATCTCAAGGACGGATGACGCGTGCCTCGAGCTGACTGCAGGGGATGCCCACCCGACCAGTCTCTGCTGACCATCAGCATCGTGCGCTGGAACTCCAGCACCTGTGGGCGGCGGTTCTCCACGTCATGTGATCTGACGTAATTCCATGCTACAATCAGCTGGGGGCAAAGCCAATGACAGATGTAGTTACTTATGTTGCAAATAAGTTCATTGAAGGATGGTTGATACAAGCTTGTTTCTAGATGATCCTGTGCGATCGATTTGAACACTTGCAATTGAAGAAGTGAAATATTGAAAAGACCGTTGACGTCGGTGAAATGTCCGCCAAGTGCTCAAAACGCCGTGCCCTAAATCTTCACCTTTGTTGCAGATCGTGATGTCTATTCATGTTGTAATATGCAAAAAACCTACGCCGCTTACATTGCGCAGTACCCACGATTAAATTAGATTAACAGCGTGCCTAGCAGACTAGGCCATCCAAGTGCTTTCACCGCAGCATGGAAATATACCACCACAGTTCCTCGTGACCTACGTGTTGTACGCCCGTATGGGTGTTCTCGCGGCGCGTTAAGGACGTTTTTACTTGCCACATGAGGTTTTTTCCACTGTTCGCACGTCTTGTGGAAATGACCTCCCGTGGCGTCTCCATAACCACGTGCGGCCACTCAGACGCCAGCAGCGCGTGCTGCGCTGCGCGTGCGTGCGCGCGCGCTGCCTGCAGGCCTGCCATTGTTGCGGCGTTTGGAGCACGAGGCTGATCACGTGGTCACAAAAAATGCGACCGACGCGCGAGTAGAGGCAGAGAGCGCAGGGTTGTTGAGCGGGGCGTGTGTAGACGGGGCAACCATAGTCAGCAGATTGCGATTAGTCTCGAGGCTAAATATAAGGTTGCAGAACTATTGATCCATGGTTGTAATATGTATTGGGGTGTGCGCAGTTTGAGCGAGGGAAGCAGTTATTGAAAATGCCCCTGTCGTGGGAGATGAATCGTTGCCTGGTGCGCCGGCCTAATGGACGACCTCAAAAACATAGTCTATCCGCCATTATTGAGCGCATAGTTCTGGTAAGTAACAAAACAACTGTGTTATGGCCATGTTTGAAATCACATCTGTGTGAACTAAAGGTCGTACCTGTGGTGCCCGCAATCCATGCCTAGTGGCCAATTGGATGACGATATATCAGGCCGGCGGGCGGAAGTCAAGTCCGCATAAAACGATTTTAACTGCATCGTGACGGCTTGCGTATAGCAAACGCAGATGAGTGTGACGATCTTTACCGAGAGGTCTCGCTCGTTCTCTGATTGGTCCTACACACAGCAGGTCTTTAGATCGTCAATCATACTTCAATAATGACTGCTGATTTCACAGTTAATCAGTGAAAGTCTGAGAATAGCCTTGATATGGCGGAGGCTGTCGAATGACTAACTCGTTAGCTCCAAACCTTCGTGTCTATCACTAATCGTGATTTGTATCCGTGGTATAGGAGGAACAAAACCTATTTGTACAGCCTCAACGATATATATCTCTCTCCATGTTGCAGGAAAAGGAACACCAAAGAAGCCAGGCGATATTTGATGAACTCTCCATACAGAAAGGTGGTGAGTTATAGATAACTACGATACGCGAACGAGAAGCGATAAGTCTGAAACGTTATATGCTTGCTTGCTGTCGTTGACACTGATCTGATGCCAACTGATGAATAATTTAAGGTAATGGCGATTTAGGCATGTGTGGTGTGTTTCAACGAGCATGCATGTAATAATGATTGAAGTATGTGTACCTGCGTCAGCATCAGTACGTACTAAATCACAAGCTCACAAATGGCTCACAAGCATGACAATCATGGATATGACATAGCGTTTTAAGAATCGACCGCTGCTACATGAACTTGAAATAACCGCACCGTTAGTTCGAAGCCAAGGACGTTATAAGAACAACTACCAAGAAGGCGTAACGGGTCCGTGGTATTTTGGGGGGTCAGAGGTCCCCTGGACAACGTATCGTAGAATTATCCGCCACAATATTCTTCAAGGGTGTATTGACCTGAGATCAGAGGAGTGAGACTAAACGGCTGACATCATTAGTAGACATGAGATCACTGCCTCGGATAAGGAATTGTCACTGGGGGGGGGGGGGGGGGGGGTCAATCCCCAAAATTATCATAGCCCCAGCCCCCATTAAGTAAACTTCTCAGCCGATTTCGCTGAATTTCTAAGATAGCACCGACTGGAAAATCAGTGCAACAACTATGGGTGGAGGTTCTCCAAAAATGTTGGTGGGGCCCAGGCCCCGCCAAAGGCATTGCAGGAGACTCCGCCCCCCAGAAGGATCGTCCAAATCAATGACGAAGTGAAATAACTTCGAAGATATCTCCGTTTCAGGTTATTTTACCCGGAACTCTCAGCTGAACACAAACGAGACACGTTTGCTGCGCTTCAATTATCTCCACAATATACCTTTGCTTTACTTCTTCCGCAAACACTGGAACCGCTGATAAGCTTTTATGTAGTAATCGATCTGAATACAACGATAGCCTGCACGATGCATATCACTTAACTCATGTTCAGCAATGCGGCTTCACGTCTCGACGGAAACGCATGGTAATGGATGAATGCAGACTTAGGACATCGGACGCCTATGCCACCTTGCGGAGGCTCCGAAGCTCCTATGATAGATATAGATGTCGTGTATCGGGATTCAATATTTCCAAGCTGTTTTACAAGCTCACCACACTTGACTTATGACCTGTCTGAGCTCGTTGTCTTAATGGTTAAACAACAGGCAGTTTTACCCAGGACGGCTTTTCTTTATGTACATCCTGTGTCATGCGCATGACCGTGCGTCATGGCACATGAACTGTTGACAATTGGATAACAATGAAGCAAATCACGCCAAGAGTGGCACCAAAGCTGGAAACAATCGAAGGAAAAGTCAGAAGTAGGTCATTCACAAGTATTGCAGGCGGCCATGGTCAGACTGGAACTAAACAGCTTCCATGACGTCACAGTTCGCTGACGCGCGTGCTCCCAACGTGACCCAGTACACTTTACAGTGATCCCTCGGAGCGGAAGAACTTGGCATATTCACGCTGCTTGTACTCCTCCGGGTCCGGCCGACGGTTGCGCCTGTCTGTTTGCCAGGAAGGCCGCCACCGCCGGACGCGGGTCAAACCTCGCGGTGCCGAAGCAGTTGACACTGATGACAAGTCGGTCATTCACCATTGACAGACGCCAGACGCATGCCCAGGCGATGGCTGCTGCGCACAGTGTTTTAGTGCGACACGGCGCGCTCGGTGCCCATGCTGTGCGGGGTGACGCACAGGAGCGACGACAAGAGTTGCTTGCAGACGCCTTTAGCGTTTTTGGTCATCGCCGCCAGCCTGCCTTTCATGCCAGAATGCCGGTCTCTGGCGTCGTTCATCTTGCGCCACTGGTCACAGTTCTCTTGTGAGCTAGGCCACGCTCTCTGCCAAACAGCCCGGATGCCAAGCAAGCTCTTTCATCAACTCCAGCTGCAGCAGCGCAACATTGCGGGCCTCCAGCACATCTGGTAGCACCAGGTCCCTGCGCTGGAATTTTTCTGCAGGTGGCAGAAAATTCCGCAGATGTCGGCCATGACGTTCGTCACGCGGGGTGCGCGGCCGTCCGCGGCCCATTTCCTGATAAAACCCTAGGCTTCAGCCTTCTCATTCTTGCTGCCTTTTGCTGCTGTCTCCTACCATACTTCTCTACACGCCGCTAGGTTCGTCAGGACAGCGTTGATTGACGACAGCAGGTGCTCGGCGAAACGGACCTCGAAGTGCTAGGGGAAAGTGACCACCTTCTCGCTGCTCTCGCGGAGCTTTTTGTTCCTGGACTTTGATGTTTGGAAGTGCGTTATTACAGCACACAGGTCCATCTTCCAGTGCAGGATCTCCGATACCGCCTTCTCCACACCCTCTCGAGCTAGGTCACTCCTGTGACACACGCACCAGATGGTGATCAGGTCACGTCCCAGCAGACCACTGAGCCTTTTCCAGAGACCGCTGCTGCGACCCGTGTTGGCGATCTCTCCGTCCGTGGTCAAGCCAACCAGCGTGTCGAGAGGCAGATCCAGCCCTTCAACAGCAGTTTTGACCGCCTCTAGTAGACCTTTTGCGCCATCTTCTTCCGGTTGCACCACGCTTAGAATGCAGGCCTGCAGCTCAGCGTCAGCATCGATCATTCTGGCAGTGACAGATTTGTTGTCTTGCTGCTGACGGTCCATACTTCCGTCGACCTGTAGGCTGTACATAACTCCAGCGCAATCTTAGCGCCGATCTTGGCCCGCTCTAACTTGGTAACGACGCTGAGCATCTTCCGGCACATATCCGGATCTCTGTAGTGAAGAGCTGCAGGAGGTGGCTTTGTTGGCCGCAGGTCCACTTCCCAACCACACTCGTTTGTAGCTGTCCAGGCTCGCTGCGGGGGAGCGGGCTGGCCGCGACCAAGCGGCCAGAGTTTCGTGCAGGCTATCGTTGTAAACAGCAACGGCGAGCTCCAGAAGCGTATTGGTGACACCAGCGGCAGTTTTCTTAAGGCGGACATCCACGGGTGTTTCGAGCTTCCGCTTTTCCACTGCTGCTCCAGGTTTTTTCACATCCACAGCAGCAGCATGCGATTTTCCGTGCATATGATCTAACACGCTCATCAGTTTCTCCTTGCTGCCCTTTCTAACGCCGCCGGCTATGTAAACCCGCCCGTTTACCGAAGCCTTGGCTGCCTCCATCTCGTGCTCTGCGCAGATGGTGCACACCAGCACAGCTCGCTTGCTGCCGCTTATCTGCCGGTTTTCGTGGAGAAGGCAGTCGAAGGCGTTCAACAACCACTGAACGTTCAGTTTGGCTCCCTTGTACCACTCGTCAGTTGTCGCACTACTCTGGCTGGAGTGGCAGGATGCGTCTCCGTAGCAGTAGGGTAGATCGTCGGAGCGGCGAGAAGCGTTCCAGAAGAGGCGGGTTGAGCATACCGGGTGAAATCTAGGAGCAGGGAAGTTGCAAGGATTAGAACTGACCACCGAACAGGAGAATTTTCACCATAGGGCACAAGGATAGTAAGACAGACATTTTCTGACCGCATGTATCAAGTTACCAACTTTTGATTTCTGTTCATGAAGACCGGGATCTTATTTTCGGAGATATGGCACTGGTAGTAATGCAAATACTGAACAAGGGGTTTCCTCCTTTGTAGGGAGTTTGAGGTCCAGTCGTGTGTCGCGTCATGTTGAGAAAAGCATCCTGATCAGATAGCACGACGACGCTCGTATGCATTCTACATAACCGTCAGGTTTTCAGGGCATGAATATCTCGCCGCGAGTCAGTTACACCAGGATTATCACCGTACGAGTCACCAGACATGATTACGCGTTCCGTACGCCATCTTTAGTCTCAGATTAATGGGATATGTTTTGTACTGTATTAATTAAAACAAAGTACATTCTATCGCAGGTTATAGTGAAACGACACGCAGCGCAACTTATGAGCTATTTACTTGCCGTGCAATGCACCTAACATCAGTGAGATGCAAACTAACAATACAGGCGCTCAAGCTTCAGCAGGTCACTGTTTATATTCATGCGGTCCATAGTCGGCAGTTTGTTAGACTGCAAGGTAAAAATAGGCGCTGGATTCGAACCCACGGTCAAAATAGCCTTTAATGACATTAAAGATCAAATAAAGGTCATCAGAGGTGTTCCGAGGTCAATGACCTGTTTTGACCTCAGGTGCGCGCGAAATATCTTTTGGCCGTAAATGGGCCGTTGTGGTACGTAACAAAATGTTGAAAAGCAAACTAAGGTACTAAATTAGATGCTAGATGAACATAAGAACTTCCTTCATGCACGACGCGGGCAGCAAAAGTAGCACTGGGGACCGGAGGTCGTCGAAGTGCAAGACAAGTAAAATGCATATCTTGACCTGTCAGTCATCACTGGACGTGCTCTTACCTGAAAAACATACTGTTACAATGCCCCCGTTAAAATACGGAGTTCTTCGATTCTGAGCGTTTGAAAATTCGACTTCAGTTGACCTTACGCTTGACCCTCGCGTCACCTAAAATGGCAATCGGTGCTTTGTTACCTCCCCACCTCGGTGCTTTGTTACCCCACATAGTCATGAATGTAAATCAGCCATAAAAGCTTGGTCACGAGCAAAACGAAAGAAAATTTGTTATCCTTGTCCATGTGGGCCATTTTAGAATAATCACATACTTGACCTGATGACCCACGTGAAGAGTTAGAAATTGCTTTATTTTGCTCCCCATAGCCTCAAGATTCAATGTTTACCGTTAAACCTCAGTTTCTCCCAGTCCGAATATAACATGTTTATTTAATCCCACCCACGCATCTTGATCTATCCGTGACCTGTGGTGACCTCAACATTAACCTGGATAAAAAAGTACACGTGCTTTCGCCGTGTATCGTCGATACCTTTCCGTTTCATGCCACCGTTGGGGGCCGAGATCATGGGGGAGGGGGCGGAAATCCGCCCTTTCTCCGGCCGGGCGAAGGGCCATCTGAGGCCCGGCGAGGACGTGTTAATGATCACCGGAATCAAATCTCAGTGGCGCTTTGCTGCTGGTTCACCTGATGATTTGATCGGGAACGTAACGGTTACACAGGAACAAATAGTGGTGATCACATATTAGGAAAGATGGTTTGCAACAAATGCCCAGCTGTTTTGGTTCAGAATTCTTTGATGGGTAGAAACGTAGAATAATAGAAACAAAATGTTGTCCTAACTAACCGAGCATAGCCATCCTTTTTTGCAGCGGGCTGTCTTTCGTCAACGTCCCCTTTGCCATCATCAGCAGCAGTGTTGCGGGAATGGGGAGCGGGAATGGGCTCGGATGGAGGCTGGAAACAGATACAGGAGTTAACACAAACCGTCCTGAGAGGTATTGCAAA